ATTTAAACCAGGACAAAATAGGTTCGCCAAAACCGGACTTATAGAGGATGTCAATGAGGATAGCGTGGTCGACACGGTCAAATGCTTTCACAAAATCAGTGTAAATCACGTCTACCTGGGAGCGATTTTCAAATGCCTCAAGGACAAAATTATTAAACACAATTAGGTTCGAAGTGGAAGAACGTCATGGTCGGAAAACATATTGTTCGTCGACTAGTACAAAGTCAACAGAGCCTGAATGGATTGTAGTACCCAGACAGCAATTCGGTAACATCAATATTATAATAACTTTAGAACTTGATTAATTAATGAATATTATAATTTTCCCGTTATAATAATATTATCCCATTTTGAAAAAGTAATATTAAATTTTAAACATCTTCAGAATGTTCTCTTTTAGTTTTAATTTTAATATTGTATTTAAAAAACCACAATAATGTTATGTTAACTTTGTATTCTCAATGTAATATAATATTATTTTGACAATATGGATGTAAGTTTATAACTGGTTCAATTCATAATATTTCAATTATATATATATATATAATTAGGAAAAAAAATTAAAGAACTTTACAAAATAGTACACAATATATTATGTATAGCAGCTACAGTAAATATATATATATATATATATACACTATTAATAATAGAAAGCAATTTATATAATAATAATAAATATAATAATTATATGATTGAGCAAAACAATTGTATGGACTTATATATAATTGTAATTATTATATTATTAATATATAATATATATAGTATAGTTAAAAACTTATAAAAATTGAATATTTCTAATAAATATGAATAAAAATCAGCTCAAAATGAATCATATACTTAATACTTATCAGGCGAAAGTTTAATTTATTCATCCAGTTATTTTTTTTTAGTTTTACATCATATACAGCTAAAAAAATAAAATCGATTTAGTCGGGAACAGAATTTGTGTAAAAATACCCATTTTTCTTAATAATTTAATTTTGCAGTTTTTTCCGACTAGATTAAAAACTATACATCTACTACTAGGAAATGTCTACGTTTACCTCTCAACAATTAGTACATACTATATTCACTATTGTTACCACCAGAAAAGATACTAAAGTTAAAAATTGGATCATTAATTTCGACTATACTATATAATATAATAATTTGTGTTTTAATACTAAAAAAAAAACATATCTTAAGATCAATACATTCATTTTATTGATCTTCGGAGTTAAAATTATTAATTATAATTATATATCTTGACGCGGTCCCGCGCAAAATCTGTTTGAATTCAAACAGCCTTGGCGTGGAAGCCGCGCCGCGGCTTCTCAATCAAACCGCCAATCGACGACGGACGACGCCGGCGCGCGACACGCGCGCCTGGAACCGTCGGCCGATCGTCCAGCGAACCGGATTGTCAAGGCGCGCTCCCTCGTCTTCCCGACACCGTCCGGTACACACCCGAAACACACACACGTTCCGTGTATTTTCGCTACCGGTTCACAATATATATATTAAATAAGCTCTTTTGTTTTTTAATAATAAAGACTTAGTTTACACCACAGTGCGTCGTTTGTTTGTTTCTTTTTGTTAATAATTTGTTACTATCCCGTCTGTTGTTTCGACCCGACTGTCTCCGTCGGTCACCACCATCACCTCACCACACCACGCGGCTCAATAGAAGTCCGCGTCAATCTATCATTATCATTATCATATTCTATATAATATTACCTATAATACCAAGTACCAACTCAAAATTATATAGAACTACACTGAAAAAAATATCATAGGTAAAACTAACAAATCAATTTTGTAATTAAATAACGAATATCTATTTTGTTAATACTATAATAATAATGTTAAAATAAAAATTCAGTTGTACAATTCACAAGCTCAGTGTATATCAATAATTTATTGAATTAACAATCTATTAATTTGTCTAATTTACAATGAATTGTAATTATAACAAAGGTGGGTAAGTGGATGTCGCTCTGCTGTACAGTAGGTTACAAGTGGGTCACTGTATAATTGATGCTATTAAATTTGAATTCAATGATACAATATCATTGTATAAGAAAAACGATTCTGAGCGAAGACGGTATGTCAGTCTAGGTTTAAGACAAATTATATTCATATCTATGGTATTAAAAAAAAATTGACCTATAATAAATTCCAAATTAATCATATCACATTATCACAATATCCATTAGGTACTTATAACACGTTATACACCAACAACAAACCCTGATGCTATCATATATATATAATAGTACACTTTAGAAGTTTCAAGTAGGTACCCACGAATAATATTATATAATCACAACAAAATAACTAGGTTTTTTAATATGTAATTTCGTCCAAATTTAAACATAAAATGACTATAAAAATAAACTGTGATTGTATATTTTTTAGATTTTTCGGTAAGAGAATTAACTACTTACGTGGAATCTTGTTTTAAATTTTCAATCCTTAGCTATAAAAACTGAACATTTTATAATTTATTAATTACGATGATTAATAATTTTCGAGATTTTGAAAAATTCTGTCAAAATTCGATGTTAAAATGCTTATAAAAAAAAAAAAATTGTGCCTATGTATTTTTAATATTTTTCAACTGATATTGTAACAATATATCAGGAGCCTTGTATTAAATTTTTACACTTTTTGGCCCAACAGATAAAACTTAATTGATATTTATAGAAAAAAAAAACTAAAAAAATTGAAAACTGAAAATGTCCGTAAACGGCTCAAAAAGAGTCAAAATATTTTCAAAATTGTATGGTGTATAGGAAATGCTAATATAAACACTCAGTGAAATTTTCATGTATCTACAGTAATTCGTTTTTCAATTACAACAAAAAAAAGAAATTGCCACATGAGAAATCGAGTGAATATCCAATGTTGTAAAAATTTGAATTTCAAACGCTCATAAAAATTTAATTTGACTTTCCGGTAGAGATTTTTTTATTGATAAAGGTAGACAATCTTATGAGTAATCTTGTATTAGATTTTCAAATCTTAGATTTAAAAAGAAAAATTTTTACGAATTCTTAACTCAAAATAATTTGCTAATTTTCGTGATTTTTCCATATTTTGTCAATTTTTGAACTTTAAATGCTTATAAAAAAAAACTGTGACTTACGATTTTTAATATTTTTCATCTGCCTTTGAAACAATATTCTAGGAGCCTTCTATTAAATTTTCAAGTTTTTTTAAACAACACATAAAATTTTATTTATATTTCTAGAAAAAAAACTAAAAAAAAGTTAAAAATGAAAATGTCCCTAAACAGTTCAAAATAAATCAAAATACTTTGAAAATGTTATCGTGTATAGAAAATGAAAATATAAACAACCAGTGAAAATTTCATGTATCTACGGTCATTTGTTTTAAAGTTACACCAAAAACCAAATTTGATTTTGTCAAAAACCGATTTTGCGTAAAAATTCCCGTTTTTCCTTAATTTTTATGTTGTTTTTCCCGGCGCTTGTGAAAACTATCGGGAATTTTAAATTTTCCAATCGAACAAGATACTGAAGTCGAAAATCGAAGCATTATTTCGGCTACTTATCGTGTATACAGATACAAAAATAAATAAAAAAAATATAAAAACACACATCATTGTAAAATCAATACATTCATCGTTTCACTCAGAATCTAAAACTATACTTTATTATTCGATTACGAAGAATATTGTTCTAAAATTAACCTCCATGGTTGAACAAATAAATCATTTTCAAAAAATTATCTAACAGTATTGTTATTTGAATATGTTTATTCATTAAATCATGAATTAAACTTTTGTAAAATGTGAAAAGATAATAAAAAGTAGTATATGGGGCACTTGAGCACACTTTTTATATTACAAAAAAACACCTTAAAAAATCTTTAAAAAATGAATAAAAAACATTAAAAAATGCATAAACAACATAAAAAAGCATAAAAAACACACAAAAAAGCATAAAAAACATCTAAAATATCATTAAAAAACATTAAAAAAAAACCGATCTTATATTTTCCTGTTAAAAATTACAAAAAATCTAAACAAATCTGTTAAAATTACAAAAAATTTAAACAAATCTGTTCAAATTCAATATCATTATTTTATAAAAATTCTATAAATTTATGCATTTTATTTCTATTTTTAACATGCGTGTGAAATTCAAGCATGTTATTATTGACACGTGTCCCATTTGGACACGTGTCAATGTTGTCACCAAATCCAGGGGCGAAACTAAAGAGGGGGCAGGGGGGGCATCTTGCCCCCCTAAACTTACCACAGTCGGCCATTTGGACTTTTTTAATATTATAGTCGGCCAAATCGATGTAAAGAAATTAAACAAAAAAAGTTGATTTTATAATTCAAATTGTACGCGTTTTACATGTCCATATGACAAATGACGATAGACATAATATTATATACATATAATAAATACAGATCATCGAAAAATAGCATTAAGTAAAGTAAAATAAACATAGTAATATGTAATATTATCGTATTTGACGTATTTCATTACGACTATTTTGAATTGTTATCTTTATTATTATTGTTTTGTATACCGCATGGTCCGTATGTCATAAACTCATAATATATGTAATACCAATACGCGCCGCGCGCCGCTAAATTATAATAGTCACCCGTAGTCCTACTGGACGCTGGTCAATCCCAGTATTTTTAGAATTTGTTATTATTGTAAATATTCTTTATCAACTGACAAAACGTGACAATTGTGTTTTTCATTTATTTTATTTGAGTCCCCAATCTCAAAACGAGTTCATAACTATCCTTCTGTCATCAGTCAATAAAATTATTAGAGCTAAAGTTAAGGAATCCGGTCAGTTTTCTGTAATGGCCGATACAACACCTGATTTGTCACATACAGATAGGCTATCAGTAGTTGTAAGGTTCGTCAATAATGAAGGTACAGCAGAAGAAAGATTAATAGAAGTCCGTGAATCCTTAAATAAGACTGGCGTAGGAATGGCAAATGATATATTAGACACTTTGCAAAAGAATGAAGTTATTAACTGAGTGTCTCGAATCAACTGAACTTAACATCGCTGATGCAATCATATTTATGTCAAGTACTCTAGAATCGTTGAATATTATTAATTCTGACATAGATGGTATGGATAATCTTATAAATAGTTCAATTGCGTTTTTGAAGTCTCTTGATGTGGATGCTGAAAAAGAGTTTTTAGTTCGGCATAGACGCCGACTTGTACCTAAGCGCCTTGATAATAATAGAGATAATGCGGCTAATATATCATTTAAAACATTTTATAGGAAAGAATATAAATCTGTGTTGGACGAGCTCACGTCACTGATGAAAAATAATTTAGAAAGTTGCATTGGAACAATTAAACCATTATATAATATGTTCAATCCCCCTGTATCAAGGAATAACTTAAGTGAAACTGGAATTCAAGATGCAATGTCATTTTTACCTAAAAAATTTGTTGTAGACCCGTTACATCTACCGGTTGAGTTAGAGGTACTATATGACCAATGCAAAGAAGTGGAAACTGTTTCGGATGTAGCTGCTGCTTCGGAACAAACAAAGAAAATGCTTCCTATAGCCAATAGAATGTGTCGTTTACTGTGTACAGCTCCAGTAACTGTTGCTGGAAATGAGCGTTCGTTTAGCAAGTTGAAATTGATAAAGAATTACTTAAGAACAACCCAGAGTGACTCCCGTTTAAGCGATTTACTGTTACTTTCCTCGGAAAAGGACATAGTAGACGATATTAAGTTAGATCTGATTGCTAAACAATGGTCAATTATAAAAAAAAGAAGGATTTGTATTTAATAACTTTTAATATCAATTGCTTTATTAATTGTTGTAAGTTCATCCTCCAAAACTCAATTGTATTATAGTACTTAATTATAAGTTTTAACAGTTTTAACTTTTAATGTTAAAGTAAGAACATTGACAATATTGTAAAAATAAAAAAATAAAACATATATTATACATGAATGAACTTTTTTTTTTTAATAGTCAGTCGGCCAAATGGACTTTGTTCCCCCCCCTAAAAATATGGCTTCGCTACGCCCCTGACCAAATCCCATAAATTCTCTTTAATTTTATTAATCTTACGTTCCCCTGAAATTAGGGGTACGTCAGGTTTTGTATAAAAATCCATAAATTCTTTAATAAAATCGTGGCCTGAAAAACAGACCACGATTTTTACTATAATATAATATAATATTATAAGTGACTGGTTTCAAACCAGCCACCTCAAATTCATTTACAATAGTACTAATTTTTATATTTATTTTAAATAGCTTTAGGGTGTATTTCCATACACCCTGAAATACCATAGTGTATACAATTACATTGATATTAAAATAAAAATATAAAATTTTTTTCTTTGTAAATAAAAATAAAAATAAATATAAGACAATGAATCGTAACAGCAAAATTATTAGTCTTTATGAAAAGATGATATATAATAATAACTCATTATTACAATCTTTAAAATTAGGGGAAGTTTATTTATGTACAAAATGTCAAGATTTTAAGAAAACTGATGAATTTAGTAAAAATCAAAAGTGGTGTAAGACTTGTATGAAAACCAAAGTTAATAATGATTTTAAAATATGCAAATGTGGAAAAAAATTTATTTGAGATGCTATATTGTACATTTAACATCAAACTATCATAAAAAAAAGAACGGAAAACATGAATAAAGAGAATATTTAATATAAAATTATAAAAATAATTTTGTTATTAAAAAATAAATTCCATAAATAATATAAAATAAAATAAAATAAAATTTTTTCTTTATAAATAAAAATAAATAAAATAAATTGTATACAATAAATTAATAAAAATGCCTCTACAGAATTAAATTATATTAGAAAAAATGAAAGTACCGAACTTAAGTTAATAGCAAAACAATATGATATAAAAAATGTTTGTAAAATGAAAAAAGATTGTTTAATAGATAATATAAAAAAGCATGCTGCATTGAAAATGTTAGATAAAAATCGCTTCTTTAAGTTAGATAAATCATTGTTTACTAAAGAAAATTATTTTAATACTTCATTAGAAAGAAGACCAAAAGTTTATGATTTGATAGACGTAATTCAATTGAATCCACAAGTCCAAAATAAATTTAGGATACATTAAGCTGATTATAAAATTAGTTTTAAACAAGCATTATTACAAGATCTAAAACAATGTAATTCAGAATACAAAATTCATTATATAGATAAAGCTTTAAATGAAATGGTAAAACTTGCTAAAAGCAATTCAGCATATAAAAAAGATGATAGAATAAGTATTGCATTATTTAATCCAAATATAAAAACTCCCATATATACTCCCTAACAGCACCGGAACTCTTAAGGAAATCCCAAGGAACTTCTGACGGAACTTTAGGGAATATAGAAGGAACTCCTATTTTATTCCTTATGTATTCCTAATGTCCGCACCTACGGAATTCCATTTGGAAAACCTAAGGAATTCCATTAGGAAGTACTTTATGAATTCCGTAATGAAGTACCTAAGGAAATCCATAAGGAATTACCTAAGGAATTCCTACTTAACATTGTGTATTACATTAAATGTATTCCGATGGAAAGTTCCCACAGAGCTCCAAACCACAGGACTCACACCTCTGTGTAACAGATTATACTATTAAAGATAAAAATGTTTGTACTGCACCATTATTTATCTAACACATATTCACCTTCTCCATCCTCCAAATTTTCCACAGTAATAATATAACATATTATATATTAAACAACTTCAAGAACCAATAATTATACAAAATACAAAATTTAAAAAATGGTATTATAGTAATTGTTAAATTGAAACTATAAACATTTCATACTGCATATATTATGGTTGACCACTTTACCACTAATAACTCTATAACAGACACACACACACACACATTCTTATAGTAGGTAATTTCAATTATGTAAGAGTTTGAGATGAATTTTTATATTTATAATTAAATACTATATACAATAATATAGTATGGATATAACATTCTTATATTTAAAAGTAAATTTTTAATCGATATTATTTTCTAATTGTTTTTGAATCAGACTTTGTAGTCTATCGGTTGAGTGACGTAACCAACCAGTTACAGATTTTTGAACAATATCATCTGTATAATTTGGGTAACAGGTTCTTCCAACATCTAAAAAATGTAACATATTATCAATCAAAAAGTTATTTAAGATAGAGTACACACTAATTTAATAACAATACGTATTGTTAGGTTTGTATGTACATACCACATATTATTTGAAACAGTTTAAGTTTGATTAAAGCCAACTTTGGAGAGGAACATTTTTTAAATGCTTTCCCAGTAAATGAAATTTGTGTGGATAACTCGGTCGAAAATAATTTTTGTAAGCAGCTCTTTATGAAATGTGAAATGTCTACTCCTCCAAATGTTTTAATTCGTTTTATCTATAAAATAAATTACATTAATTATTGGACAAGGAAAGACAAAATACATAATTTTTAACACTCCCTGGCAGTCGAATACCAAACTAGCAAACGCTAAGGCAGGGCTGCTAGGTCGTGGGGGTGCGTCTAAGGGTGCAGTTATTGTACAACCAAATATATTGTTCAATGTACAATAAACGATGGTGGCCGGAGGAGAATCAATGTGAGCAACAGTTCCTCCTCCGGCTATCGATTAAACCGGGGGGGAAAAAAAAACATAATTTTTAGTTAAAAAACATTTAATTTTTATTTATGATTGTTCTGTTTGCCATTTTATGTACTTGATACTATAAATAAACAATTTACTATGCTAAGAGCTCTTCAAATAAGTTTAAAATTACAATTATATGTGTAGATAGGTAAATAAACACACCACTATAGAAAAAAAAAAATAGGTAGGTACCTATTATTGTGAATAAAGAAGAATTAAAAAATAATATTTAAATTACTTTAATTAATTATAATAATAAGTTTATAACTCTATATCACAGATTTAAGTATTTATTATTGAAAAGTAAGATTAGAAGCAGTGGTGGTCACATGGTATGGTGGGGAGAGGGGGATATATTCCCCACATGGTCTTTTTTCAATGTCTATTAGCTGATAAAGTGGTAACCATACATTATATTTTTAATAATTAAATAGCGAATAAAAAAATCAGCCATACTCCCCCCCCACCCTTTGACAAAACCACTGATTAGAAATATATTACTAAATATAATATTATACAATAACTCCTCTCAATTACAGATCCTCTATAATACAGAATCCTCTTTATAACGGAAAATACCAAGAGTGACGGCTCAAATATATAAAATATCAGATCTTTCTATAGCAGAACATTCTTTTCAATGGAAAAATTTGTTTGACCCAAGTGATTCTGTAATATAGAGATTTTACTGTATCTCAAAATGTTCGTGTTCATGTTGAAATATTAAATATACGTACAAAATTCATTTTAAAATCTTTATTAAGTAATTTTTCTTCAACTTCCGTAACTTTTTCTTTATCAGGCAATGGAAAGTATTCAGAAAACTGCATGGAAAACTGCTCAGGTATTGGTTCAAATAAATCTGTTGATTTAATACTGGTTAGATGAGCTATAATTTCTTTCTGATTTTCTAATATCATACAATTTTGCATTTTTAAATGAGCATTTGAACGCATAATATGGTTTAATGATTTAGACATCCAACATTCTATATGATAAAAAAAAGTTATAATATTGTATTTGGGATGTAAATTAATAAAATATGTAAAAATAATTACCAAAATTCATTTTAGTTTGTGAAGATCTGAACATCTCATTTGAGTAAAATGGAGTTGAATTATTCTTGAGCTCTATGATTATAGAACAAATGGTTAATCAATTTAGAAATCTAGTTAAAACTATGTATAATTTATAATTACTTTGAGGAGAGCTGTTAATTTTATTTTCAAATTTTGAATTTGGATGAAATTCATTTTGGACTAAAATATGAATAAATATCACAAAAAAAAAATTAATTAGTTGTACCTATATGAATAACAATAAACTTTTATAAAATTAAAATTACCTTGTAGTTCATTTGGAGAATTGACTATAGCTTCCCTAAACATATCAGCATCGTCCTCATGTGAAGATTTGTTTAGAGAGGTGCCTGGGAATAAAACTATTAATAATATTATAGGCGGAGAACCCGAGAACTGAATAAACATATTTATAATATTTTAAATGTAACTACCTTGATTTTTAAAAGATCCATATACAGTATCCTGAATCAATTTTGAATTTTCTTTAGAATAAGATCTTTGAATTGATTTTGTAGGAGTTGAAAACATGTCTAAAAAATAGGAATATCTTATTTTAGAGATTTTCTCTTAAAAGAAATCATAAATTATGTGTATTATTGTGTATAATTAATGTATATAATTCAGTTGAATTATATTTGACCTTTAATATACACCAAATATAAATGAATAATTCAAGAAACTGTATTGTTATTAATACACATCATTCATAATTACATTTTTATAATTTAAATTTGACTAAGGTCTATTTTGGATTAAAAAAATTAATAAAAATTAATAATAAAAAAGTAATGAGCTGAACTTTACTATTATATGAATCAATATATTATTTACTTTGTAGTTTATTTGGAGTTTCGACTATCGCTTCCGAAAACATATCAGCATTGTCCTCATGTGAAGATTTGTTTAAAGAGGTGCCTGGGAATAAAACTATTAATAATATTATAGGCGGAGAACCCGAGAACTGAATAAACATATTTATAATATTTTAAATGTAACTACCTTGATTTTTAAAAGATCCATATACAGTATCCTGAATCAATTTTGAATTT